AATTAAATTTTACATAACGGTTGAGCACCATTACGATCATTATCTAATTAATTGAGTGTGCTACTTGAGAACACCCAAAGAAATCTATTTGTAAACAAAGCAAAAATTTTCCATATACATATGCTTGATTAACATAGCGATAAACTTGTACGTACGTACCTAAATGAATATACAAAAATATCATTTCTTTGACTTTTTTTTTTTTGCTATTGTTTTATTAAAACGGACCTATTGTGATACATAAAACCTTTAACATATATATAAAACCTTTAACATAAGATGATAGATGTCACCTTTTTTAGCCAATGCAAATAATATTTGACCTTGTAAATAATTTTAAAGGATCTACCCAAAATTCCCAATGCACAAAATCTCGGATAGCTTTTCAGTATTATGCCCATATCGGAAGTGTTGGTAAATCTTCTTTTGGAAGAAACTTTATACAAATTAAATTATAGTTCGTTTTTTTTCTTTTAAATATAAGATTTTTCTTTTATTATTACAATAAATTTTAAATTATACAATTTTAAAAATACAATAGATAAAATCCATATTTTATGCAAATTTTATGTAAATTTTAAATAACTAATGCAGTAATATACTAAATAAAATTATTCATCATCGTAATTAGCCTCAGATTTTCTACATCCACTCCTTTGAAAAGATTTAAAAAGCATTTTGTATAACTTTGAAAGGATCATTAATCCAAGTGAGCCCAAGACAACTGTTTGTGAAATAATTAATGTAAGTGAAAGGATTTTTGAAATACTTGGTGGGATAAAATTACTAAGAGAATGCACAAATGGAACTAAAAGGAGTGTAACAATAATTCTAGCAACTGAAAGAATTATGTTTAAATAATTCCCGAATTTATTATCGGCATATGGTTTATGTTTAATGAGCATGATAAGGTAAAAAAGTTCGATTAAAAAAAAGCCACCAAGTTGCACTTCTCCGCTGACTTGTACTGCACCAACTACACATGCACGTAAGATTGTATGTATGATTGAGATTCTGTGAAACATGTACTCGTCAGGCCTAAATTGGTTGTATAGTGATGAGTAAACGAATTTATATTTCCCATCATTCTCGAGAATATTATTCGATTTTACGAGTTTGGAGATTTGTAAAATGCTAAATGCATGCATAAAGACAATAAAGGCTAAAATAATTGAGGCAAGAAGAAGGAGCATCCAGCAATCATAGGTGATAGATAGTTGGTATACTGTAAGTGCTACAAGCGGAAATGCAAAGTTAATCGCCTATATTTAATGATTAATTTTGAATATAAAAAAATTAATAAAAATTACTAATAAACTTTAAAAACTGACGCTATTTATATAATATATGAATATTTACCACACGCAAGACGCCACCTTATATAAAAAATAATCATAATAATTGCATGAATATTTAGAGCTTAATATGTTTACATGAAGTAAAGGAATTTTTTTTCAACATACCAAATAAGAATAAATGCACATTATCTCTTAATGTTTTCAAGTATTCTGGTGCATTTTGTCGATATTTTATCACTATAACTGCTACACCAGCACTCAAAAGAACTACCACAATTGCGACAGCGTTAACAACTAAAAATCCAATCATTGACGTAAAAGGAAGGTCTTCTACAGGAATACCAATTATATGCGCATATGAATTTAACCCGTCCGGATTTACAGCATATTGTGAAAAGTTAGATCCGAATGTAACACTAGCATTTGAACCTATTGGTGGCAGTGTATATCCATTTTCTTGATCAACACATGCTCCCGGAATTGATGTGTTTTCACTAATAATTATATTACAAATACTATAACGTAAATTATTAACAGCAGAAACAAGTATATTAAGATTGATAAATCCTTGTGCACATGCCCATGTAAATGTTGATGTGAATTGGCGATATTCAGATGTTAGATTTAGCGAGAGCCATCCTGTAGCAATAATTGATTGGGTATAAAATATAAAGTCATAAAATGATGGTGATTGTACGTGCGCTGGTGGTCCTCCTCCTGCTACATGATGATCAACTACATCAGTTTCTTTTCCTCCCACATCTCCCTTTGCTGTAACGTGATAATTTAGTGGTGGGTCCTCTTTCCCTGCTGAGTGATTTATTTGAATTTGCGTGTCTCCTCCCTGGTGAATTTCTTTAGGTTGAGAATCAAGTTGGTTATGATGAACATCATGGCGAGAATCAAGTTGGTTATGATGAACATCATGGCGAGAATCAAGTTGGTTATGATGAACATCATGGCGAGAATCAAGTTGGTTATGATGAACATTCTGGTGAGTTAAATGTTCAGAATGATGATAATGAGATAAATGTCCAGGTTGACCACCTGTTCCTGCTGTAGCAACAGTGACTACTCCACCGGCAGCAAGAGCCAAACATACTACACCCAAGGTTACTGAAGTAGCGGTATAAGCAGTCGTTGCACTTGGTGTGACAAATGAGTCTGCAATATTATCATCGTCTGCAATTTTAGTCATTACGCAAGCAAGATAAGGATCATTAGGTCCAGTTTGAATTGTGAGAATTGCGTAACCACCGAGTGATTCAATTAAAGAAAAATATCCGTCTGTAATAATAAATATTTATTAAAATAAATAAATTATTTTACCAGTCATTCGAGAAAATGGTGAATTACCTACATTTAATTAAAGCTCCTCCAATAGTTTTTGCTATCTTTTGATTATACGTGTTTCCTGAATCAATTACGTTATCTGATGTACAAGCACTTGCATTCTTTGCTCCAAAGCAGGGAATACCATCAAATTCTAACGCAACTGATGTTCCGTACACTTGAACATAGAGTCGTCCCGTTGCTTGATAATAGTAAATGGCATAGTGGAAATGTATATATAAGTATTTTTAAATTACGTATGAGAATTATATAACAATTTCAACATTAATTACTAATTATTCATCTTACCATTATTTACAACAATTGGTGAGCGACCTTTAAATAAAGGGATAAAAGTTTTTTGCGACTCAGAGTAAAGTATACGAAAATCATTAATATCCATGATACCACCACATTTAGAAAATCCATGTTTGGAAGTAATGCTTTTAAAATCTGATGCAACTTTAAGAGCTTCGTATGGTATTGTGTCATTGCGCGGCGTTAATTTACTATTAAAATCTATTGCAGGAAGAGTAGTTGTAGTTGCGCTGGGTATTGCTTGTGCACCTAATATGATTCAATAATCATAAAAAAAAAGTTTAATCAGCATAAAACTTTGATAGCAAATACAAAAAACACATATATATGTACCTGTAAAGGTAACAAATGAAGTGGTTGGGCCAGTAACAGTTGATACCGACGTAAATGTCGTTGATGTACTTGAATTCACAGTTGTTGTAAAAGCAACTGGCGTCGTGGGACATGCATATCCTACCGCAGTAGATGCTGGACTGATGGTATTATTGGCTTGTCTTATATATAGATGACCCGGTGCAAAAGAAGCATCCAACCGAATTATCAGAATACATATAATGAATATAACGAAAAGACCCTTCATTCTTGAGAATAAAATCGAAATAATTCTATTCAGCATTGGCTATAGTTCATTTGGCGATTATTTACCTTTATATTGCCATTGCATAAGTACTGAAAGTATTTAAACACATTCGATATAATCAGATATCTGGTGTTACAAGATACAAAAATTTTTTCTAAATATTTTTTTTTTCAATTCCAAAACAAGAAAATCATTTATTTAATCATATGACTACTTTTGTCAATCCAGCATTGTCATCATCTAGACAAACTTAAATCGTCATATCTCAAAAAAATTCAAATAAATTCAAATAAATTCAAATTTCGGTACAGTACATGATGATCCATCCTCAATAACAATTAAAATTGTAAAGCAAAAGTGCTGATGCAATAAGATAGAACATTCTATTTTTGTGCATTCTATTTTACTATATTCAAAATCTGGTATGTAGTACTGTATGTACTACAAATTTATTGGCATTGTTAGAAATTCCTTTTTTAGAAATAGTCTAAAGGTCAGGCAATCTTAGTTGATCAATTTGTAACTTTTATTTACGCAAATCAGTTCAATGAAATTAAAAGAGCGAAAACACAAGAACATTTATCTAAATTTATCTTGGACATCAATAAAATGACGAAAGGCAATTTTACCTATAACGCAGTAGTTTCTATATCTAAATTACAGGGTAATACTAATTACTGTAATAATCTAAATTATAAATGTGCAAGCGGAAACTTCTTTATAATCAACTTAAATGAACATATCACTGCCACTAACTTTTAATTATATAACTGTAGTTATATGACCTCTTCGCTTCGGACGTTTCCCTCTTTTGAATTATATTTAGTGCAGCGTAACATGTTACTCTAAGAATATATCGTTATGAAACGATTAAAATTTTGTGTTATAGTACATTTTTAGTATCTTGGAATATTTATTTTTATATTATTATTTTAAACGTTTTTTTTACCTTATTTGGTTAATAAATGCTATCGTAATTTGCGGCAACTCCCTCTAGTTATCATACCCTCATGATTTGTACCTGGGATTAATAAAGTAAAACTTATGTCCAAATATTTTTGCGTTTACTTAAATGACTTAAATGATGATTGGCTAACCTTATTGCATTTAAAGTATCCCCTTACATAAACCCAGTATAAAATACCATCCACCTGACAAAATACCCACCGGTATTATTTAAGATTTTGACCCTAGGAATGTAGGTACTACTTTACCACAAACTACGGAAGCACTTTATTTATCAATAACTGTATTGTTGTTATTATTTGTGTTGGAACAATAACAGATAAGATGGATATGACGCATAGGACGCAGGTGATAATTAAACATGAATGAACATGATAATTTAGGAAATGGCGTAATTAAAGATGGGAAAAATGAACATTTTTTTACTAGACAAAATTCAATCTATTTCAAATTTTCATTTTATTATTTGCATACGTTACAAAGAATAATATATCTAATTTTTATGCTTTAAGACCTAATACGAATTGGTAACAAAAGTTATTCCATAGCTCCGTCCTGTATTACGTTGGTCATTGGCCAAAATTATCTTAATGCCGGCTGAATTATTAGTTAACACAGTATAAATTTTATGTGCATTAATGCACACACATGAAACTGCATTGACACCATCTTAAGATATTACTTAGGTATCAGAGCTAACAAATTTATACTATAAAAGCCTTGATGAAAAAAAAGGCACAGTGAATCTAGATATATGTGCAAGCATTGTCATATTTTTAATCATATTACTAACATGTTTTTTTAGTGGTAATATGGTATGTTGTTCACTGACACCTCTCAATTCAGAATCGACATGCGCCATTTGTATAGTTATGAGTTTCACACTGACGAAACGCTAAACCTAGTTTCATCTTTCGTCATTTAAAATCTTAATGGTGAATGGCGAGACCGACGAAAGGTGACAAAACTGACGAAAGTGGAAAAGCTGACACAAAACTGATGAAAGGTGAAGATCTATTAAAGGTGACGAAACTGACAAAAGCGTAAAGAGTGTCAAAACTAATGGAAGATGAAGAAGCGGAACACCAGTTTCAAAATCGAATTTACAAAAAGAAAATAAACATCCATCACCATGTAAAGTAATTCAAGGTATACTGTTTTCGATGATCTTTGCCCAAATGAATGCTAAGATACGAAGTGACAGTAATATTTAGAAAGGACTTTTTCATCTATGAAGATATTTAGTAACCAAAAACCATCAAAAAAGGCAACATCTGTTCTCGAGATATCACATTTTTTGATAACGCATTCAGAGAATAGTGGCACCCCATTTTTTCCGGTATTTGTAACGAATAATAGTCGTGACGAATAATATTATGTGATGAATAAGGACCCTTATCCGGCAAACTCATATGATCATGAAAAAATTTCTTCTTGTTATTTTTTTCATGTGTTACGATATAATTATGTT